GAGGAGCAGGTTATGATTAGGATCTTGTGTTCAGTTTGCTTCCCCTTGCTGCTAGTACAGACCAATAGCAAACTACTACTCTCACAGTAAGAAACAGAAGTAAGGTATCTGAATCAAAGTGCTTTCCAGGTCCACTCCTGGAGTGATGCTTAGGTAAATGTCTAAAACCGAAATGTAACCCACTGCCTGTTTAATAAACTTTCTGGAAAACTTTTGGAGTTACTGTTGGTGTTTAATACTAGTATTGCCAGAAATTCCACTATGACCCCAGTTTCTGGAAACTGTCTTCCTTCTCATAGTTTTATCTAAATGCGCACAGGATGAAATTTGCCACTGGTAAGAGATTTATCACGAGCAATATTCACAATTGAACAGGAGCATATCTGGGGCAGTGTGAGCAGGGCATTAACCCTGGACTAGCCCTAGAGGGGGCATCAGTATAGGGCTGTCCTCCCAGGAGTCTCTGCCATGGGCAGATGCATCCCTTCACCAAACAGTGTATCAGGGGGTGGCAAGGATGGTCACCGCACACTTTGCTGATGTCCACTGCACACCTTGCTGTTGGAGGCACAACCCTGTGCCCATAGAAAGAAAGGGCATCAGGAGGAGCCCCAGGGAACCCAGGCTGCTGCCTGTTTCTTCAGAGCAGCAGCAGCAGCAGCAGCAGCAGCATGAGCCTCTACTGCACAGCACTAGCAGCTGTCACCTAAGGAGAGCTCTGTCAGATAAGACTCCGTGTCCCACCCTCAGTTCCCAGCCTACTCTCCGGTGGCCAACATAACAACCCCAAACCCCATGCCCCGGGTGCTGAAAGTGCTCCCTATACCTATACCATTTAAGGTAGTGGTGGGCAAAATATGGACTGTAGACCACATCTGGCCAGCTAAGGGATTTTTTTGGCCTGAGGAGGCCCCCTTAGCCCTGCCTGGCCCAGGCATAGGGGACCACAGAGGCCATGGTGCATGTGGTCAGGCCTGCTGCCCTGGGGTGCACAGGAGGGTTGGGGCAGTGCTGCAACAAGACTCACTTCCTGGCAGCCCCTGCAAGAGCAGCTCCTTCCAGCTGCTGCTGCCAGTCCTTGCCGCCACCACCAGACCTGGCCCCGCTGGCCTAGGCATCCTGTCCTACTGCTGGTGGCACTGGATGGGGCAGGTGGGTGGGGGCTCTAAGTAGACCAGCTTGGGACCCATGTGGACAGAGCATACTTGGCCAGGCAGGAAACAGCATCCAGGAGCAGGATGGGCAGTGGGGCTGGGGCCAGGGCTGGGATTGGGATTTTGGGGTGGTGACAACATGGGGCCAGGGCCTGGGCCCAGAGAAGACCCACTATCCACTACTCACATGTCCCGGTGATGGGTTCTGCAGGAAGGGGTGTACAGGGAATAGATCATGGCCTTGCCCCAGGCTCCAGCCTCATACTGTCACCTCCTCATGATCCCAATCCCAGCCTCAGCCCTGCCTTCCCATCCCACTCCTGAATGCCACTCCCTGCCCCACTGCCCCATAGTCCCATCCACCAGCTGAGCATGGCCTGCCCATGTGGGTCCTGGACCAGTCTCCATGGAGACCCTGGGATTGCTGGGCAGCTAGAGAGTGGGGCCTGGGCCTAGCGCAGAACCACAATCTGCTCTTCATCCTGCAGAACCGGAGCCCATCACGGAGGCAAGTGGGGAGTGGATCACAGCACTTCCCTGGGTCCCGATCCCATGCTGTCATGGCCCCATGATCCCAGAGTGCCCCAGCCCCAGCTCTGCCCACCAGTCCCACTCCCAGATGCCATTCCCTGCCTGTCCATGACCCCATCCCATCGGCCCAGCTGAGCACAGGGCAGAGCTACTTAGGGGGTTTTGGTGAATTGTTGTGGGGAAAGAGGGGTGCTGACCCAACCTGACACAGGGGTGTTGACCCAGCCCTCAACAGCTCACCAAGACTCTCTAAGTTGGTCTCCAGCACAAATAATTGCCCACCCCTGATTTAATGGCTCAAAGTAAGTTTGGGTATGATTTAAGTGGTGCTCAGACACTGAAAGATCCAGCCATCCAAATGAAATCAGAATTTCATTTTGGTCAGTGTCTCTAAGCAACTCTCTAGCAATGCAGGGATTTCACAGAATATTTTTTGCCTTTACTAGGAGTAGTGTGTTGCAATACTTTACAAAGATAGCTACAGACTCCATCACCCTCTAATAAAACAAAGAATGTAATTCCTTAAAGTCATCAGAAATATAGTTAATGAATATAAATATTCAGCCAATGGTCCAAATTCAGATTCTTGACTAGAACCTGAATGATTATAGTTTGTTCAATAAATGTTATATTTGAACTCTTTCCATGATTTAAGTTATCTGTTTAAAGTATCTCCTGAAAAAGGTCACTCTAGTTACCCTGTAGGAATGTATACACTACATTCTGAGGTATCCAGGTTGTAGCTGTATTGGTCTAAAAGAAAAAGCAATCAGGACTCATAGTAGAGATGATATTTTCTGCGATGATGCAAATTACCTTGAAACAAAGGCAGGAGCTTTGTTTCAAGGTAATTTGCATCATCACAAATCCTCACAGGAGGTGAAAGGCTCCATAACATCTATGAACTGAATGCCCAGAGGAGTTTTCCATCTATTGACTCCTCTGTGAAATCCTATGAAATATGAACTTCCATTTCTACCCAGGAGAACTTTTGCAATCTTTTCTCCAATGCCTGATGAAGGGTGTTTGTACCAGAAAGTTTGCAATTAATGAATTTTTTTTTTGCAAAAATCTTGTTGGTCTAATACGAGTCCTGATTGGATTTGCACTATATTCTGGCATTTTATTAGGTGTGTTATAGTTTCATAGTTTCATAGTTTCTAGGGTCGGAAGGGACCTGAGCAGATCATCTAGTCCAACCCCCTGCCATGGCAGGAAAGAGTACTGGGGTCAAACGACCCCAGCAAGGTGGTCATCCAACCTCCTCTTAAAAACCCTCAGGGTGGGAGCCTGCACCACCTCACTTGGAAGCTGGTTCCAGACTCTAGCTGCCCTGACCATGAAGTAGCGCCTCCGGATGTCCAACTTAAACCTTCCCTCCGCCAGCTTGTGACCGTTGTTCCTGGTCACTCCTTGCGGCGCTCGGGGGAACAGGGACTCCCCCAGTGCCTGCTGATCCCCCCTAACCAGTTTATAACAGGCCACAAGATCCCCCCTCAGCCTTCTCTTTTGAAGGCTGAACAGGTTCAGGTCCCGCAACCTTTCCTCATAGGACCT